AGGTAACTTTGAGGTTAATGTGATAGGTAATTTTGAGGTTAATGTGACAGGTAATTATGAGGTTAATGTGATAGGTAACTTTGAGGTTAATGTGATAGGTAATTTTGAGGTTAATGTGACAGGTAATTATGAGGTCAATGTGATAGGTTTGACATGTAATTTTGAGGTCAATGTGATAGGTTTGACATGTAATTTTGAGGTCAATGTGATAGGTTTGACATGTAATTATGAGGTCAATGTGATAGGTTTGACATGTAATTATCAGGTCAATGTGATAGGTTTGACATGTAATTATGACGGTGATGACAGGTAGTGATTATGACATTGACGGCCAATTACAGTAAGAATAATGTAACTATCTATTAATTATGTAGTTTAATTTACAAATCTTTGGAAATAACGAGTTTGTTGGAAGGAATTTGCGAAAGTAATGAATCTTGGAAGTATTCAACAAATTGTTTGGCGTCAGAAACCGAAGCATTGACTTTAATTTTGAATTGAACATCAGCGGTAAGAGAAGCTGGAGTGGCAGTCGGGGTTGGGGTTTTTGTTAAACCTAAAAGCTCATCAAAAGCATCGGTTGCTGGAGTGGTTGAATCCCCAGTAAATTTATAAGCGATATCAAAGACTTCAAATCTATTTGTAGTTACTGACGGAGCCAATAAATCATCAAAGATATCCATTTCGGAAATTGAGCTTGCCGATGGAGAGTTGGAATATTGAGGGAATCGATGACTATAAGTGATTCTTACGGCAGAATCAACTGCTCTTTCGAAAGCATACTTGAACTTATCTTTTGAAATACCTTCACCTAATTCAGAAGAGAAATTAACATTGATTATGTTAGTTGGTTTTGGTTTTTCAGCTGATTTGGATTCTTGTTTTGGTTGGGTGTCTAAAGTTGGAGGAGATGCAAGAACAATATTTGATAAATCTAAATGTTCTTTAGATTTAAGATATTTAGTAATTTTACTAACTGCTGATTTATCAATGTTACCCAAGTAAGCTAAAACGTCACCTTTCAAAATTCTACCTTTTGGTCCAGATGCTGGGATTTTTTCATAAGCATCTTGCTCAGAAATGTTATTTTGATGTAACAATAATTCAACTGATGGTAAGAGTCTTTGACTTGGATTTGCCTTGACAAATACTTCTTCACCGGATTGTCCGCTGGATTCTGGTTTTGATTCGGTTTTTGCTGCTGGTTTTGCTGCTGGTTTTGATTCGGGTGTTGGTTCTGGCTTTGTTGCTTTTTTGGTTGGTTCTTCTTTAGTTGGTTCTTCTAAATTTGGTCTTTCCAAACTAGATAAATCATCACCTGGTTCAGCTAAAAGCGCAATTGGCTTACCGACTGGGATTCCCGATTCACCTTCCTTGATTATAATGTCCCACATGATCCCATCGTCTTGGGCTTCAACGTCAATAGTAGCCTTATCAGTTTCAACCTCGAGTAAAACATCTCCAGCAGAAAAATTATCACCAGACTTAAATTTCCATGAAACAACTCCACCTTCAGTCATGGTTGGAGACATTGCTGGCATTCTGAAGATCTGCGCAGCACTCATGATTGAAGAAGTGGTGAAGAATCGATTGGACGAAACCGCATACTTGCGTAATGGTAAACTAGCTGCTCTAATCATGGTACTAATTAATTTGAACTATCGAATATTTAATCACCCAATTGAACTTTCTGATTATTTTACTTGTTTTTTTTTGGATGTCCTACTTCCTTCCCAAGAATAAAGCCAATAAACAAAAAAATTTGAAAGATACCTTTACCAATACCAATAAAAGACTCTGTAATGATGGTTGCACCATTTTCAACTATTGGCATTTCGGGGCTCACTGGCTCTCCAAATGTCTCCGGCCCCCATCACCTCAAAAAACACTGAACACCCATACATCTGCACACTGAAAACTACCCTTCGGCCTTGTGTCTCCGATCAGTTCGGAAGCGACATTTCCGCCAGCGACATTTCCTTTCGTTTTTGAGTCACGTGCACGCATTTATTTCCACGTGACCACATTTCTGATCAGGTGACCAAACTCCTCCCACCTCCGTACATCGCCCTCGCTCCCCCGGGAAAAAGGACCAGAAGCCACTTCCCTCAGCCCGGCCAATCACCACAACTTTCCCAGCCTGGTCTTGCCGTGCCCGGGAAGAGATCATTAGGTGAGACACCATTGCAAAACTCCCGGATTAACTGAAGATTATTTTTATCATTACATCGCGTTGGGTTGTTTCACCTTTCCAACTCATTACATCAGGTATAATACTCTATCAAATTCCCACAGCGAACAAAACGAAATAACAAAAAAAAAAAAGAAAAATAAAAATAAAAGAGTCAGGTACGCCGTTTTTTCGTCTTGTTGTTTTCTTTCGCTGGTTCCCATTAACGCATTGTCATTTGCTTGATTTCCACTCGCTACAACTGTTCTTAACACCCTTAGCTATACTCAAGTGTATTCCAGTAGAGAAATATAACCTGGCATTTCGTAAAACGGGTTGAACTGGAATTTCTGGCTCTCTTTTTTGTCCTCATTACCCCATTATTTTTGTTAGAAAAAACTTTTAGGAGCAAACTACTTAGCTGAAACTGCTACCTTTGAAGTTAAAAAAAGTATAGAGATATACTTTAACTATTTATCGAAAACTTATTCATTTGCATTAACCCATCATGACATCATTAACAACAACAACAACAACAACAACAACAACAAAGTTTTCTGAAAAAATCAGATCAGCGTTGAAGTTTATGAAAAATATACTAAAGTATTCAGGTCCTGGATTAATGGTTGCAGTATCATTCTGCGATCCTGGGAATTATTCAACAGCAGTAGCTGCTGGCTCAGCATTTAAATATCAACTACTTTTCACAATCTTGGTGTCAAATTTTTTGGCAGTTTTTTTACAAGTCTTATCAGCAAAATTAGGAGTCATAACTGGTCTTGATCTTGCAGCGAATTGTCGAGCAAATCTTCCTTATAGATTAAATATGTTCATTTACATTTTAACCGAAATTGCAATCATTGCCACTGATTTGGCTGAAGTTGTCGGTACTGCTATTGGGTTAAATATTGTTTTCAAGCTCCCGCTTTTCGCTGGGGTTGTTGTTACCGTTATTGACGTTTTAATTGTCTTGATGGCTTATAGACCAAATGGTCCTTTGTTATTTGTCAGACTTTTCGAAGGGTTTGTTTCATTATTAGTGGCGGCTACCGTTGTTTGTTTTGCCATTGAATTATATCAAGTTTCTCATGATCCTTCAATAAATTTTTCCACCATTGAAGTTTTAAAAGGTTTCTTACCAAATGAACAAGCCATTGATTTAGATGAAAGAGAAGGTGGTAGTGGGTTATTTTTAAGTTTGGCTATTCTTGGTGCCACAGTTATGCCTCATTCTTTATACCTTGGCTCAGGTTTAGTTCAAGCTAGATTAAAAGATTTTGACATTAAAAATGGTTTCTATTCTCCTCCAGTTGAAAATCCAATTCAAATCTCCAACAATGATGATCCCCAAGTTAATCTTGCTAAAAATAATCAATCCGTCACTAATGATAATTTAGATGGCGTTAATGCCCAATTACTTTCTCATGATGAACATTCCAATGGCCCTGAAAAATCTCCGGATTCTTCTGATTCTTCCGTTGATGATTATAGACCATCTATTCATGCCATTAATGATACAATGACTTATACAATTACCGAACTAGTGATTTCTTTATTCACAGTGGCTCTCTTTGTTAATGCTGCCATTCTTATAGTTGCTGGTGCTACTCTTGATAAAAGTCAAAACCATTTCCAATTTTTCTTACGTGATGATGATGATCACGATATCGATGACGGTCATAATTCTGACTCTGATTCTTCTGATGAAAGCTATGGTAATGCAGATTTATTCACAATTTATCATTTATTATCAACCCATTTATCTCCAACTGCAGGTTTTGTTTTTGCCCTTGCTTTACTTTGTTCTGGTCAAAGTGCAGGGGTGGTTTGTACTCTAGCCGGTCAAATGGTTTCTGAAGGATTTTTAAGTTGGTCTTTACCCCCAGTTATTAGAAGATTGATTACTCGTGCTTTTGCTATTATTCCATGTTTATTGGTTGTTAGTTTTGCTGGTCGCGAAGGTTTATCGAGAATATTGAACGCAAGTCAAGTTGTTTTATCATTATTATTGCCAGTGGTTAGTGCTCCTCTCATTTATTTCACTTGTTCTAAAAAAATCATGAGAGTTCCTTTATTAGTTCGTGATGGTGATGAAGACGTTGATACTATTTTGGATTATGAAGATGATAATTCTTTGCGTTATGAAGATAATGACGATACTCTTGATACTAATGACGATACCATTGAAATTACTTCAACTTCTTCTACTTTGGCTAATAACCTTACTCCAGGTGACCGTCTTGATAAATCTAAACGGGATCGTTTAAACAGAGTTACTAAACTCAATAATAATGCTAGACGTTATAAAACAACTGAGCCGGCAATTAGATTACAAAATTTGAGAAATTCCCATCCATGTGTTGGTTGGGAAGATGATGATACTGAAGATCATGAACAACAACATTTGGTGAGTTCGAATACTGATTCAAATGACGATTCTGCTTCACATCCAAAAAGTCATAAAAGTCACCCATATTATAGTCGTCAACGTCGCCGTGGTTCTACAGTCGATATAGCCAATAACGACGGAAGCGATGCTGATGTAGAAGATGAAGATATTTTAAGTGATACTAATAATGCCGATAACCTTGACACTTGTGATGAAGATTATGACATCTACAGAGTCAAAGGTTTCAAAGATATGAGTAATGGTCCCGTTACCTCATTCATTGCTGTTTTGGTATGGGCATTCGTTGCATCGTTAAATTTATTCCTTATTGGTAGTATGATTATGGGGTATGAGGTACCGCTTTAATTCATTCCTGTTCATTCCTATTACCTTTTGTATATTATTATCGTTTCTTCATTTTTTTTTTTTTTTTTTTCATTCTTGTTTTAGGTGTTCTTAGGTGGTTAAGTTTACTTTGCATTTAGTTCTTTATTATATGATTTATTCATTTATATGATTTATTCATTTATATGATTTACTCATTTATATGATTTAGTCATAGTTATATTTATTTTATTTCCGTTTGCATTTTTAGAATATTACAAAACTAAATGAAACTAGATAAAGCTTGTAGATTAGATTTTCTTTTTGGCTTTGATAAATACTGGAATCATACCGCCAGTACCAACAGCAAAGCTTCTATGACCCAATACTAATAACTGGGCTCTAATACTTCCAGAATGACTGGTGATACTAATGATTGAATCATTTTTCGACGTTGAAGTGAAAATATTTTGGAAAGAACGATTTATTCTTATAGCTTGTTCAGCAATCAGCTCACGAACATCAGATTTCCAATATATGTCTTCTTCTTCAAAACCTTCTTCCAATACAAAACCTTTTGATTGGTATTTGGAAGCAATTATCGACTTTGTTGATCTTTTATCACAAGTATGGATTCCGATGGTTTCACGTAAATCTTCTAGCACAAGCGGTTGAACCTGTTTCAAATCCACAATACCATTCCAAGTACCAATTAAAGTATCAATTGATCTTGTGAAAGGAGAAGAATACCATTTATGGGGTAAGATTTTACTCTCGTCCCTCAATTCGATTTCCCATTGGTCATGGTTTTCAACGGCCTGGCTAACCCCCAAGTGAGTCAATTCAGGATCGGGCCCCCAAACAAGTTCCCCGTCGCCATTAATCTTAGACCAATAATCATTCCAAGCGTCGTTCCCATACTTAGCATGCGCTTGGTTATGGTAACCTTGACCGTGACGGGCTAAAAAGGCCAATTTGTACACCTCATCTTCTCCAGAATCATCATTCAACTTTTCGAGTTGATCCAAAATCTCTTTCCAGGGCTTCAATTTACCAAAGTGATCTCTCAAGTAATCAAACTTGGTGTCATCAGTGTCGGTCGCCGATTGTTTGAATACATACGGTACAGTCTCGAACTCCCAGAACTCCAGGGACTCCTTCTTTAACTGCTCAAGCTTCTCCTGGTACTCTATACGGTCATTACCATCTAACAGAGCGCATATGACATCAAGATTATCTGGACTAGTGGACATTCTTCGAGGTTTATAAAGAAATACTGTAATTCCAATGAAAACAACTAGATAAGTGAGTTTCCAAAACGGGTTTAACATTCGAAAAACAAGCAAAAAGTAGGAATTCAAACGGGAAAAAAAAAAACCGATTCAAAGGCTTTTGAAGCAGTCAACGGAAAAGACAATACCAATATCTTAGTAAGCTCGATTTCAATAAAAAGAAACATAATTAGCATCATCTGACTACAATGACTAGAACTACACCCCCCCTGCTCTTTCCAATTGAGCCCAGCACCATCACCATCACCTTCTCTTTCTCTTTCTACATGTCCGTGTCTAATACGTTCAGCTCAGAGGGCAATTGTAGTAATAAACTGTTGATAATTGACGAAGTAAAATAACAACAACGAAAAAACAAGTGGGAGTACAGGGTCGTGTACGGAGCTCAACCAAAAATTTCAACGAAAAACAAAAAAAAAAGAACCAAAAAAAAAGACAATCTTAGAACGAATCACACGGAACAAGGATAAACAAGGTGTTCAAACAAACAAAAAACAAGCGAAGTTAACGACGTTTCTACAGTTGTAACCAAATCATCAGGACAAATAAAGGAAACCAGAGTTGACTTAGAGTGTTTTCAATTACTTTCCTTTGAATTGCGAATTTTTGAATCTCCAGTTTTTAACCGCCCATTAGAATTAGACGCTGTTTTATACAATTGAAGGCATTATATTCCCACATAGTTCGTTGATTGATTCACGTATAGGATATTGAATTCAGTATCGGTTGTGGTTTTATTTCTTGTTATTTTTAATTTTTTTTGCTTTTTTATTTCGATAATCGATTGTGATTATTATATAAACTTTAATATTCATTTCAAAGTTGATCTTGGTTGTGAACATTTATAAACGTTTAATTCATTAGATAGGCAAGATGGAAAACTATAGTGATAATCTTTACCCATTGGCATTGTTAATGGATGAATTGAAGCATGATGATGTTTCTAACCGAGTTGAAGCTATGCAAAAATTGGATACTATTGCTATTGCTTTAGGTCCAGAAAGAACTTTAACTGAATTGATGCCCTTTTTAACTGATGTTGCTCAAGATGATGAAGAAGAAGTTTTTGCTGTTTTGGCCGAAAAACTTGGGGATTTTATTCCTTTGGTTGGTGGTCATCAAAATTGTGAACCTTTAATTCAAATTTTATCTTTATTAGCATCTACTGAAGAACCAATTGTAAGAGATACTGCTATTGACTCTTTGCATAAAATCAGTCTTCAATTAACTGATGATGAAATTAATGGTATCTTTTTAAATTTAATTAAAACTTTAAGTTCTGGTACTTGGTTTTCAAGAAAAGTTAGTGCTGCTTGTTTATTCAAATCAGTTTTTGTTAAAGTTAGTCCAGCTACTAGAAAAGAATTACTTTCCATATATATTAAATTTGTTGCTGATGAATCTCCAATAGTTAGAAGAAGTGCTGCTAAAAATTTACCTCCTTTAATTAATCAATTAACTACTTATAGAAAAGAAAATAATATTCCTGCTTCAGAAATCGTCGATAATGAATTTCCTTTTATTTCTAAAATGTTTATTCAATTAACTAATGATGATCAAGATTCAGTTAAATTTTTAAGCATCGATATCTTAATTGCTATTTTAGAATTTTTCGCTTCGGTCAATGATACTAGTCATAATTCTGATTGTTTAAATAGATCTTTGAAATTAATTGGTGATGATGCTTGGAGAGTTAGATATACTGCTGCTGATAGATTTAGTAGTATTGCTAAAAATTTCGATGCCAATGAACAAGATTTATTAAAATTAATTGATCCTTTCATCTCTTTAATGAAAGATAATGAAGGTGAAGTTAGAAAAGCAATTGCTCAACAATTACCAGATTTTTGTAAATTATTAACCAATTTCCCCTCAACAAAATCAACTATTGAATCAAAAATTATTCCTGTTGTTAATGATTTAAGTCAAGATCCTCAAGAAAATGTTAGAGCTTCTTTAGCTTCAACCATAACTGGTCTTTCTCCAATATTAGCTAAACAATCAACCATAGATAAATTATTACCAATCTTTTTGATCATGTTAAGAGATGAATTCCCTGATGTTAGATTAAATATTATTTCTAATTTATCAGTTGTTAATGAAACCATTGGTATTAATTTATTATCAACTAATTTATTACCAGCTATTACTGAATTAGCTCAAGATCATAAATGGAGAGTCAGATTAGCCATTATTGAATATATTCCAAAATTAGCTAATCAATTAGGTGAATCCTTCTTCAATGATGAATTATTATCCTTATGTATGTCATGGTTATGGGATCCAGTTTTTGCAATTAGAGATGCAGCAGTTAATAATTTGAAAGATTTAACTACAATTTTTGGATCTGAATGGGCTAACAATGAAATTATTTCCCGTTTATTAAATGTTAAAAATAATTCCAATGATGACAAAATTGATGATGACAATGAAAATAGAATTGAATTTTCAAATTTCATAATTAGAATAACTTGTTTATTTGCCATCACTAAATTAATACCAGTCATTAATGATAAAATTATCGTTCAAGAAATCATTCCATTCATTAATGATTTAATCAATGATCCAGTTCCTAATATTAGATTTAATGTTGCTAAATCTTATCTTACTATCGTTGAAGCATTAGCTAAAGATTCAAGCGAAGATTATTCTAAATTAGTTAATGTCGATATATTATCCAACTTGAATACATTATCAAGTGATTCCGATGTCGACGTTAGGTTTTACGCTAGTAAAAGCATTCAAAGCATTAATGAAATTACTAGTAATTAACTTTTTTTAAAATTGTGATGTTATCAAAAATAATGATTTCTTTGGTTTTTTTTTATTTGTATTCTTTCTATTATTTTTTTTTTGTTCCGTATCTTTTCCCATAACTCTTAATCATAATCTTTTTTTTATTGCCATTCCATCTATACTTATATAAGTACATAAATATACATGATTCGTATAAATTCCTACATTGTTGATCGATAATTCGTGTACATTGTACTTGGATTAAAAAAAGAAATAATATACAAAAATTGGTGAAAGTTAGATCAATAATCTAAGAATGAATAAATTAATTAAATGCAAATTGAACATGAGTCATGAAGTATGGAATTCGTGAGTTGAATAAATGAATGATGAGATACTAAAACTTTGAATTACTTTGATTTCTCTTGGTCTAATTTCTTTTGTAATTTATCAAAGTCAAAATCAAATGAAGCACCACAACCGCATTCAGTTGAAGTATATGGAGAGTCAACAACTTTGAAAGAAGATCCGATTAATTCCTTGGTATAGTCTATCTTTGAATCTTGTAAAATTTCAAGCGATGATTCATCAAATATAACTTTTGCGCCCTGTTCATCATTTCTTGCAAAAATTAACAAATCAGAATCCTTTTCTAATTCTTGTGAAGCATTGGTTAAGTCAAGGTTGTATTGAAATCCATGACATCCCCCACTTTCAACTCTAATTCTCAAAGCAGAATCAGGATTATTATCATCGTGGGCGATCTTACTCAACTTATCACTGGCTCTCTTCGTTATAGCGATTTTTAAATCAGTTTCACCATGAGTCAATTTTGTTATTTCAAAATCATCAATATCTTCTTGAGGAACTTCCGGCAGTTGTTGCTTCTTAGGCTGCTTAGTTACTTCGGGAGCACTTGGTTGAGCAAAAGACGATGCTTTGAAACTTTTAGGTTTAGAAGTTGGTGCAGACCCAGCTTGATCCAATCTTGATAATGTTGAAAATGCCTTGACTGGGACTCTGTTCGAACGTAATCCAGCTTCGCTTAAACGTTTGATCACATTCAAAGAGCTTTTTCTTGTTATTGTTCTTGTTATCATATTCAAATTTAACCTTTAGTTATATATACTGGGTTGTGAATGTCAAAGTTTTAAAAAAGAAGTCTTTGGTTAGCTTATATTTTGCATGATTCCTACTGGATTAATAATGAAAGCCGATAATCGGTAGGTGCACTATAAATATATTCTGGTCACGTGGTTTGGTGTATGGGTGTGATATTGCGAACCCGGAATTCTCGTATGACCGGAAGTTTGGCGATTGCAAAATTTTATACAAAAATCATGTTTTTGGCAGTACCCTTTGTCTTTGGATATAGAGTCCTTAGTTATGGTGCATACCAATCCGTATGGACCTGTGATTCTTTGCAAAAACCAAAACATTTATGAAGTTGTTATTGAAACAGAATGAAAGAAAGATATATTAAACGTATAAAAGACATATATATGAAATTTAAACAACACACATGAAATATTTGGATATCAAAAGAAATTGAAGGAAAATAATTGCACAAATTATCGAATTTTGACTAACAATAAAAGCTCAATTGGCTGATTCAATGCTTCTTCGAATTCCTCATCCTTTCTGAAATCGTGGTTTAAAAAAATTTCAGATATTCAAAGTTTTAAGGTGTCGATTAAAGTAGTGTTTTTTTTTTTTTTGGTTTCTGGATTGTGTTTTCTCCCTTACCAAAATCCATGGTATCTATAGAAGGGAATAAAAATAAATGATGGACTGAATCGAAATTACAAATTGTCAATACTCAATTGCAAACTAGGACCAGTTAATTAAAGAGAATAAAAAGGATAAAAAAAGTTGTTGATTGAATATGTTTATCTATAGTTATCATTGGAGATTCTCCATGAAGATAACAAATCCAAATGAGCGTAGTCTTCTTTTGGACCTTCCATACCAAAAGACATAGCTCTCCAGTACCAGAAGGTACCTACCACGATAGCATAAGCAGCAAAATAAACAACGGCATATAAGATCTTTTTAGTAGGAGATCTTGCGTATTTCAAAGGAGTAGAGAATAATTCAACTTCATATGTGAAAATGAGCATGGCAAAATATAATGCTGGAACGTAATGATGGACATAGGTGACTCTCCCCATGATGACGAAAGGCATGAAATGTAATCCCCAACCAAACATAGGATAAATACCACCCATAAGGAACGATTTTAATTTTTGTGGATTTGATGAAGGGAAATCAACAATTTGTCTTTGCCATCTGATCAAGAAATATAAGGTTAAGAATGCAAACACAACAACCCCGACAGAGGAAGTCCAAGTAGTACCAGGAGAACCAATCATATAGTATTTGACACGATCAGAAGCCCAGGAACACATTCTGATACCGGTGTGTAAACTTGGCCATTGCCAGAATGAAGAGGCTAAATCATCTTGTTTATCATAATCAGGAACCAATGCATTATTAGTAGCCATCATAGCTAAGTTCAATTGAATAAAATCTCTTAAAAATCTAGTTTTAGGTAATTTAAAATCGGGAGGAGTTTGAGGTAAAAGTTGATTTTCGTTATTTTCAATATTCCACCAAGTTCTCTTATCTTTTCTAAATGGATCTTTAAAACAAGCAACTTCACCTTGTCTAAAACCCCAGGCAGGTAATGAATTACCAGTTACACCTAAATAACAACCCAATACTTGACTACGTAATCTAAATGAAGAAGTTAAAGGATGTAATCTGATTTTATCTTCATCACCAGATTGTTCCATAATTTCAACAATCCAATTATCTTTGTAATCACCAATAGTCATATTACCATAACAAGCAACTTCATATTCAGATTTGGATAAAGGAGCTTGAACTTCATGAGTATGTAAGTTACGACCAGTTAAAGGATGAACAAGTCTAACAGTCATACCATCGATAACATATTCGATATCAGTATTGGTATCAGTTTCATAGATAGGATCACCTCTTGGTCTTTGCATAATCCAATTATTATTTGAATCTTTATGAGAATAAGTAGTAACTTGTTGTTGTTTAGAACCTTCTGGGAATGTTTGAATATGGGAATGTAATAAACCACCAGTTAAACCTTGATTTTTCAAAGTCATTACTGAATGACCAATTGATACTTCCCTAGCACCACCAACAACGTCAGATCCAAGTAAATTAGCTTGGAATAAAGAGGACATATTAGCATCACCGGGACCTGATTTGTATAATAAATCGAAATGAACTTTGAAAGAGATAAGGAAGATAGTAATTGGAACGATGATTAAACCAAAAATTCTAGCAGCCCAGTGGTAAGTATAAGTTGCCCAAGAGATTGATTTATCACCAAATTTATTCCATAAATCAACAATAGTATAGATACCTACTAAAGTAGTAACAAATAAACCAACCATTTTAACAGAACAAGTACAACCGATACTTAAACCGGTTAATAATAACCATTTCCACCATTTTCTTGAAAAACTTCCTGCAGTGGTATTGAAATTATTAAATCTAGAAAAACAAAAAACGGTTGCAACAGTGAAAAATAATAACATTGAATCTAATAAGATGAATTTACCTAAAGTAACATATGAGGATTCGAAACAAACCATTAAAGAGAATAACCAAACGGAAGCAATACTCAAGCCAACTTCTTTAGCAGTGAAATAAGCTAAAGGAACACATAAAGCACTAAAAGTAGCTTGAAAGATTCTCATTTTAGTATAATCGATATAATCAGGGTAATTTTCACCAGAAGGGAAATCCCAAGAACCGTTATAGCCAGCAAGATAACCGGATAAACCAACCAACATTTTACCTAATGGAGGATGAACGTCATGATAGAATTCATGTCTTAAGTAATAAGAACCAAATTTACCAAAATGAGCTTCATCCCAAACAACAGCGTCATTAACACCAATTCTATATAATCTAACGGCAAAAGATAAGGCGGTGAATATCAAGGGAGCCAACCAAGATTCCAAAGCAGCTAAGGAATCAATGAATTCTTTGGTTTCATCAAATTGTGTTCTTTTTGAATCGGTTTCGTCTTCAGATTCGTTTATGAGATCAACAGTAGTATCATCGACAGATGGAGCTGATGCACCATTTCTTTGACGAAGATTGTCACTCTTATGACCTTTAGCCCCTGTAGTAGCAGCAGACATCGTTCAAGTATAGAAAAGAGAAACCAACGTAGAGTAAGGACACTGAATCAATGCTCGTAAAAACTCAGATGGAGATTGAAAAAAAAAAAAAAATAAGACTGAAAAAAAATTTAGCAGACAGAGAAAATGATTTTTCGACCCGTGGTAAAGATGGCAAAGGGTTCACGTACTAACTGCAAGTGTGTAAAGGTAATTGGAAGGTATTACTATACAAGGGGTGAAGAATTGGGGTATAAATTCTGTGTTATATTTACTTTTATTATGGTAAAGAGCTAATTTTTCAATAAATCTTTAAGGGTGTTTTGTTTATTGTGTTGGAAGGAACAGCGAGAAGAAACACGTCATTTAAAACAGCTGGTGTTTGGGTGTTGCAGACGCGAACCCCCGTACACCGCAAGTCGACTGCAAAAAGACACCATTGGCCAATGGCCAATGGGTATTTACTGGTGCCACTTACGGCATTGGCGAATACATTGCAGAGGCGGTTTAGTTGAAGAGAATGGTGTTTATTTTAGGGTATGAAGATATTTACTTGGTATGTTTCCTTGGTATGAGGATATTTACTTGGTAGGGTTACTTTTCATTAGATTAAAGCAGCGACTAAACAAAGGAATAAACCACCAAAGCCAATGACATTAGCATTGGCAGCACCTTCGTAACCAGAGAAGGTTGGGACACTGGATTCAGCGGCGAGAGAGGTGGAGGTGACATTGGTGGAGGTGACATTGGTGGAGTTGTAGTAAGTGGCAGCCAAAGTGTGAGCACCTTCTTCTAAAGTACTAGTGGCAATGGAGCATTTGTTATCACTACAAGAGGTGATAGTGATGATGACATTTTCAGTTCTAGTGATGGTAGAGTCTTGTTCGGCTTCGGTGGTACCTTGTTTGGCGTTAGTGACTTCGGCTGGTTTGGTGGCTTCTGATGAATTAGAAAGGTCACAAACGGTGGTGGTGATGACTTTCTCATTACATTTATTATCAGCACAAGAAGTAATGGTAACAAGGGTGGTGTGAACATCGGTGACGGTGTTGATGGTCAGGTTGGAGTAACCAACATGGCCGGTAGCAATAACCGGAGCAGAAGTGACGGCGGAGGTGGAAGCAACATCGTTAGCGACAGCAGCAGAAGTAGTGGAAGTAGAAGAGGTAGAAGTAGCAGTAGCAGAAGAAGAGGTAGAAGAGGTAGAAGTAGCAGTAGCAGAAGAAGAGGTAGAAGAGGTAGAAGTAGCAGTAGCAGAAGAAGAAGTGGAAGTAGTACAAGAAGCATCATCTAAGATTTCCTTGATTTGGTCTTGGTAATTGTTGTTGGCAAAAGCAGCAGAAGCATCCCAAATGGCGGCACCACCAAAGTTGGATTCACATTGGAAATCTTTAATTTGTTTAGCAACGTTGGAAGCATCGGTGAAACCCATTCCACTGGTTTCAGAACCGGCCAAACCAGTGAATAATTTAATATTTTTATTTGGCGCAGAGGCGGCAAAATCAACCCAAGTATCGAGGTTGAAAGAGTTACCACTAACACCGCAATAGTTATTATAGAATTGAATGAAGGCGAAATCTAAATCAACTTGTGATAACAAGTCACCAACGTTGGCATCTGGATAAACACATTGAGGGGATGCAGATAAGTAGTAAGATTTGGAAGAATCTTGAGCAAATTTTGATCTTAAACCATTGGCTAAAGCAACGTACCCGGTTTGGTCATGGTTTTCAGGATCAAAATCAAACCCATCAACAACAGCGTCACCAAAAGGTCTGGTAACGGAATCATCAGAACCAGCACCAAAAGTATTCCATAAAGTGGTAGCGTAAGCACTGGCTTCGGAATCAGAAGAGAATCCATAAGAACCAGCAGCACCACCCATTGATAATAAGACCGCTTTACCATTATCTTGACAAGTCTTGATATCAGCTCCGATATCAGGACAAGTTTCAGTCCAACATTGATTGGAAAAATTAATGGTAGTATCTGGGTAACCCGATAAGAAAGAAAGTAAAACAATATCGACAGAGTCAGAAGTACAGTAGTCACTTAATCTGCTTTGATCACCCCCAGAGTTTTGACCCCAGTAGACAGCAACGTTGTTGTTGGCAGAGGCATCAAAGGCAGCAACAAAAGAGTTAAGTAGACCTAAAGAAACGAGTGAATAAAGAATTTTAGAGATCATTTTAAAAGAAAGACTAAAGTTAGAAAGTTAACGAGTGACTGATGAAATACTCTGGTTATCTAGTAGATGGTCATCTTCCTAAGTATTTATATATTCAATCCCACTTTGTAACTAATGAACGTTCACAACATCAAGAGGCCAGTTACATTTTGGCAAATGGGTGTTTATTGCAGCATAAAAAATAATACCCAGTGGTGTTTTTGCGGCACATTCTCTTGCCCGAGAACGAATTAGGAGATAATTGCATCTGATGGTTTGAATTTTGGTAGCATCGTTATTGGTCCCCGAGCAGCGCAAAGAGTACTTGAATTGAACACCCATGGTCTCTCTGAAAACCAACCGTCAGCCAGCACTGAAGTGGTGGCTGCTCATGAAAGGCTGTGTAGTAATATGTGAGTCGTAAATTTGCGAAGGAAATAGTGAAAAAATACGGCCTCGCGCTCAGAATTCTGTTTACTGCGAGGGAAAGGTGACTTCCCGATTAGTGAAGATCGTTTGGAAAAACCAACAGAATTACCCAATTGGTTGCGTAAAGAGACGAGTTTGTGGTGGTAAGCAGTGAGTGTTATGGAAAGACGTTGATATTTTTTGCAAAAGTGCTTCATTTAGTGATGGAGTACGAAGTTCGTTTGGTAGACGAGATGAGATGAAACTAGATACAATCGTAGACTGATGCCATTACAAACCAAACAAAGGAGTCAAGCTCGTCTTGATCATCAGAGTCTTCATTATTCAATGAAAAGGAGTTATTAAATAGATGTAAGTTTTCGGGATGGATTTTAAACTTGCCATCGGCAGATAAGTCTAATAGTCTTGATCTGAACCTGGCCATATGTAAGTTTGCAAAAACCAATTTTGTAGTATTGAATAGAAAATGGTTAATTAAGTCAATTAATTTCAATTGCTGATCATTTGCCATTACTAATTTTTCGAGGTTGGAAATTGGAATCAGAATGCTAATTGTTTTCAACGATTCCATTTTCAGAGGAGTGGAATATATGATTTCTAGATCTCCGAACAATTTGGCAATTTTGGTACCGTCATGATCGTTTAACGACGCCGTGAAGTTATTAATGATGGCTTCGATCGAGTGGTTGGTTAGTTGTACATCCTTGATGATAAGCGGCACCGAGATCCTTGAGAGACTTGCTTCCAAAGATTGAACCAAAAATGCCGGTATACTTGATTTAATAAGAATTACGGTATTAAAATTTTTGAAGTCGCTATTCAATTTCAGTATGAATAGTATTAGTTGGTTTGGGATTATGGGCGAGCTCTTAATCATGATTACATTGATCGAGTAATCCTTCACCTGCACGTGGCGGTTGGTGATCTTCATTACCTTGATTAGGTCACTCAGGTTAGTGTATTTTGGTATTAGATCATGATTGGAACTTTGGTACTTTTCGTACAAATAGAGTCCCTGTTGTCTCAATAAGCTATTGAGAGACTGCAGAGGGAACTTGGCTTGCGGCACCGCATTGGATTTGTATATCTTAAACGTATTATTCACCAACAATTGGTTATTCATTTTAATGGCGTAGTATCCCCCAACAATTGGTTATTCAGTTTAATGGGTTGTTGATGGTGATGTTTTTGATTCCCGGTTGGCCGTCACGTGCTGGGTGTACGGAGGTTTTTTATAAATTGAACAATTGGTTTTCGCACACCGCCATACCCCCAGTTAGAAGCCTTCGTTGAAGAGAGCACTTGGTGCACCAATCAAAGTGTTGCAAAATCAACCCAAGGTATTTCAACTAATGCCGGGAAGGTTTGTGGAGACCATCTTATGAAATTGAGGTCCGCCCGGCGGTTTGCGGCCAGGAATATTACACAAACCACCTCCCCGGAGAACAGCTTCGGACTTTTCAACGTCTACAAAAACTTCTGTGTTCTACAAAATAAATCAATCTCTTTTCAAAAATTTATTATAAGCTATAATCGTTAAAGTTCACAATTGCAAAGCTTAAGCTTTAGCAACGTGTTCTAATAAATCGACAACTCTGGTGGAGTAACCGAATTCGTTATCGTACCAAGAAATCAATTTGACAAAAGTTGGGGATAATAAGATACCAGCTTTTTGATCAAAGATAGAAGAGTAAGAAGAACCCAAGAAATCGGTGGAGACAACGGCATCTTCGGTGTAACCCAAAACACCCTTCAATTCACCGGTGGAAGCGGCTTTGATGGCTTCAGAGATTTCTTCGTAAGTAGCAGATTTCTTCAATCTAACAGTCAAATCAACAACAGAAACATCGACGGTTGGAACTCTTAAAGACATACCGGTAAGTTTACCGTTTAATTCTGGAATAACTTTACCGACGGCTTTAGCAGCACCAGTAGAAGATGGAATAATGTTACCGGAAGCGGTTCTACCACCTCTCCAGTCTTTATGGGATGGACCATCAACAGTCTTTTGGGTGGCAGTTAAAGAGTGGACAGTGGTCATTAAACCTTCTTCAATACCGAATTTATCGTTAATAACTTTAGCCAAAGGAGCTAAACAGTTAGTAGTACAAGAAGCATTGGAAACAATGTTCAAGTCTGAAGTGTATTTATCTTCATTGACACCAACAACAAACATTGGAGCATCAGCAGATGGAGCAGTAATGATAACTTTTTTAGCACCACCGTCAATGTGTTTTTGGGCACCTTCTTTGGTGGTGAAAACACCGGTTGATTCAATAACAAAATCAACAGAGTTTTTACCCCATGGAATAGCAGCTGGGTCTCTTTCACCAAAAACCTTAATGGTGTTACCACCAATAATCAAGTTTTCACCGTCAGATTTGACTTCACCGTCGTATCTACCGTGGGTAGAATCATATTTGAACATGTAAGCAGCATATTCTGGAGCAATGAAAGGATCATTGATGGCAACAACCTTAATATCTGGTCTGGATAAGGCAACTCTTAAAACCAAACGACCAATACGACCGAAACCGTTAATACCAATTGAAATAGCCATGTTTAATTAATTATATATATATAAGTGTAAATTGATTAAAGAATAATCTAAAGAACAGAAAAACAAAAAAGTATCCCAGAAAAAAAGGAGGAATTAGAGCAATATATATATATTTTTGCCTATGGGAGAATAGAAACTGGTGGAAATTTTGAAACTGCTTTGCGATTCGCCGGGTCGAAGGACTCCATTATAGCCAAATCACCTGAAGCAAAGGAGGACCATTGTGCAGAACCGGTAGTGGTCGCACCACAAAACTCCGAGGCCGACGGTTTGGCATGACGCAGTACTTTTCACCGTATGATCACCAATCCAGAACCACCTTATGTTCCTACCACCCCATCACCTTATGTTCCAGCAGGAACCGAAGCTGGTTATGGGATGGTGGTTATGGGATGGTGGTTATGGGATGGTGGTTATGGGATGGGGGGGTCCGCACACCCGGGCGACTTTGTAACTACAATGTAGACATATATAATAGAACGTATATTCTATGGAGCATCAGTACACTCCCAGTCGGTTGGATCGTGAACTTCGGGGTGTTGGATACTTTCCACTTCCTCTTTGGTCAATTCGAAATGATCGACCGAAAGGTTGCTTTGTAATCTTTCTACCCGTTGGGTTTTTGGTAATGGAATATACCCTTTGGATAATGACCATTTAATTAGTAACTGGCCAACGTTGACATTATACTTGTCGGCTAGCGCTTGCAATTCTGCGGGTGGGTTTCTCAATCTATAGCCATGGGTTAAGGGACTGAAGGCTTCCACTTGGATATTTTTCAGCAAACAGTAGTCGGCCAATTCTTGTCTCATACACCAGGGACTGATTTCGATTTGGTTGACTACTGGCTTGATTTTGCAGTGGCTTAACAATTCATCGATATGGTGAATACCATAATTCGAAACCCCGATATTCTTGATAAGTCCTTCTTCCACCGCTTCTTCTAAAGCCTTCCAGCTTTCCAATCTTTTCGTTTTCCCTGGTAAAGGAGAATGAATGAGGACTAAATCGATGTATTCTAGTTGCGATACTTTACTGAAAATGTCCTTGATTGCCCGTTTAGTATTTTGGTAGCCCAATTGGCTATTCCATAATTTGGTTGTATAAAAAATTTCACCTCTATTGGTATTAGTACTGGTTAAGTATTTGTGAATCCCTTCCCCAACTTCACGTTCATTCCCGTATAACACTGCGGTATCAAAATGTTTATAACCAACTTTACAAGCTTCATATACTACTTGTGCCGTGGATGAATTGGGGATGTCGTAAGTTCCTAATCCAAAGGCTGGGATTTTGTTCCCGTTATTCAAGGTAATGAGTCTTTTAGCTGACATCTTAAAAATATATTGAAAAATATAATGGAAAAGAAACCAAGAGACGGAAATTGGAAATTTATCATTGCCTGATAACCGATTTATATAGATTGCAAAATGGATTTTAGAGCAAGCAACCCTAGTGGCGAAACCCGTACATCCAATCAAAAAAAAAAATAACAATCTCCCACTGGTGTGGTTGGAACACGCACCCCTTTTTGTTGCAATCCCAACTGGTATACTACTTATTTTTCACTTCTCTCTTATTAGTTCTCTTTCGGTTATCTATAATGTATAATTGAGTATTATTATTCATTCAAGAGGTGGATGTTCTTTTATGGGAATTGTCTTCTCGATCGCGTATTTACCAATAAAAAAAGTCATTGCCTGCAAAATTTTCAGGAAAAGTTATTGATGAAGCATTAAGATCGCTAGTCAGAGTATAACTTGCTCAACTTACCAAGCCTGTCTTCATCGCGAGTTTAGCATCTCATCAACTTCCTAGACAAAGAAACCCCTTATTGATCCATTCGATGGATCTGCATTTCGAATTCTCTCTGATCCACCACCCGTAACTCTTGAAAAAATGAATGATTCTCTTACTGAATGTCGTGAGTTTCTTCAAGCCCGACAGGCCGAGCTGTCAAGTGAAATTCATAAAAGAAGCAAACACCCACTTCCATCAAATGTTGAAGACGATCAACTCCGTGGTCACTATGACCAACTCCATGACCAAATCTGCGATACCATTACTCAAATCATACTAGACTCCCTTGAAGCCATTGAAAAAGAAGATCCAGAAAGTATTAAGGCTATAATCGAAAAAATCCAATCAGAGGAAACCAAATTGCAATCCAGCTTAACTGAATTAAGAGAGAAACTTGAAAATATCGCAGAAAACTTGGGTTCTGGACTTGACCCAATCCGTAAAGATATTATCGAGAGGAAAGATCCCGCTATTTTGACTGAATGTATTAGAAGCACCGCTGAAGCTCGTTTGGCTCTTCTTCGTGAAATTATCTCTGAAGAAAAAGGATATGTCTTTGTCCATGTCAAGTTGGTTTGGGAGATTATGGGAACTCTTAATTCTCATGGTATGCAATATGAAAATATTCGCTCTGGTTGTGAAGAGATTTTTTTGATTATTATGGGAAAGCTTGTTGAGTTTAATCGTGTTGGCGAAACAGTGGACTTAATACAATGGGGAAACTTCCAAGCTGAAATTAAAGAAAAACAACTCCAATTAGAAGATGAATGTACTAAACATATAAAAGAACTTAGCAACCTGTCTGTTAAGGATTTTGCAAAAATATCTAAACTTAATAAAGAAGAAGTCGCTAAGATCTCCCGAAAATATGTCGAGAAAGTTAAGACAGAATTAGACGGCTTGGTTGACTATTCTTCTAAGTTCATTACTCTTTGTTCTAGCCAGTTGGAAAACAAGGAGACCATCGTTAAATTTTTAGATCTCTTCGAGGCTCTATATAATTATTTTCGTGAATCCAGGAGGCTGTTACAAGTAGAGTTTGACCGATTCCATAAGCAGGCCAATTCTTCAACTACTGGCCCTAAGCCAATTCAAGAATCTGCCGAGTCATCTTGTACGGTAAAAGATGTATATAATGAAAATACCAAGTCAAATAATGACCTTACATCAGGCCACGATACATTGGGTGATAACTTGTTTGTTAGTGATAAAATTAACAAACCAATGGACCCGGTGCCTGCTGAATTCTCCCGTGATGCTATGGC